GAGCCAAAATATACTAAATTTTTAGAAATTAATAGATCTTAGAATAAAATCCTGGTCTCCAAATAGAGACCTCTGGTCCATGGCATCCTTGAGAAATTAGTCAGCTCAGTTTTAATATTTCCAAGACAAAGACCTCACCACCTCTTAAATAAACCATAATGATACACGTGACCCATATGGCTAACACTTTGTGGTCATGTATAATTTCCACTCATAGTCCTGTTGTGTTTTGTGGAATTACACAAAATGAGCATATTCTTTTCTAGGCAGACTTTTGAACGATAAGGGAAATCTCTAAGTACTCACATCTTGAGAATAAAGAAGCTCAATTTCTTAATCTATTTCATTATACCTTGGTCTTGTGGTCCTCTCCACTATGAACATACAATTAGTTCTTTTTGCTCCCAAAGTTTATTTAAACACCATGGTTTACAAAGGTCTCTTATGGGCATTTAATATTCCAACATCAATCCCACCATCACTGTCACCTTCCTTTCACCATTGTCTCCATTTCCCAACTACCCCTAAAGTCTGACCCTTTAGGGGTGGTTGGGAAATATAAAATAAAGTATTGTGGGTAGCAGGTCCACAATAGTTTATTTTATATCGCTTGTTACCATCACATGACTAATGGAATCAACAAAAAAATATTTCTGTAGAAAAAAATTTGTAAAATTTATTGTATCTCACCATGGGGATAATAAGTTTCTGTCTAAGGATTTACTAAACTGCTATTGCAAGTTAAGCCTTCTGTGCTAATGTTTTTGTTAGTCAAGATTGGTTGGCTTCTACATTACATTCCCATATAATATGTTGCTATTACGAGGATGAAAGTGTTGTAGACTTGTGAAGATGTTGCACAGCTATGAATGTGATTAGAACTCCAGAAAATTCAGAATATTTAACTGGGCAATCTGACTGGCAGGAGGCATGGTGGCAACTTTGTGGCGTGGGAACAGTCTCCAGGGCTCTGTTTGTGCCAACCTCTAAGAGTGCACTGGATGTCTCACCCGCAAATGGGTATCCAAGAAATGTTTGCGACTAGGTGATCTCATTTGAGATTTATTTGTGAGTCTCAGGAGCAAGGCTGGTATGTGGGTTTACATGGTGGCAGAGATGGAGATGGTCTGGTTGCTGAATCTTTCAGAAGTGTAGGGGTGTGAGGGGAAGTCGCTTATCCCAAATTCAAGAAGGTCTGGAGTTTTCATTCACAAAGATCCATATATCTGAAGTTTTCAGATTAGGTTCTCTGTGACACTCAGTCCTGAAGTGGTGAACACACAGTTAGTTCTAAAGGTGCAAATACAGGAACTAACTCCAAGTGATATGTTTATCACATCTCTGTAAATACAAACTCAAGCTTATAATGAAACTGAAAAATTCTAAACTCATTATTTCTCTTATTTGAACAGCCATGATCTCGAGTCACACATTCCTAAAGTCAGCTTTTAACATTCCTCTTTTCTTTTCTTTTCTTTTCTTTTCTTTTCTTTTCTTTTCTTTTCTTTTCTTTTCTTTCTTTTCCTTTCTTCTCTCTTCTTTTCTTTCCTTTTATTAATTTCTTTTCTTTTCTTTTCTTTTCACTGCTTGGCTCATAAACAGCAATTCACAGGGGTTACTCCTTGCTCTGAACTCAGGAATTACTCCTGACAGTACTTGAGGGACCATATGGGATGCTGGAGATCGAACTCAGCTGTGTGCAAGGCAAATGCCCTACCTGCTGTACTATCGCTCCAGCCTCAACGTTCCTATTTTATATTGAATCCTATAAACTCATCCATATTAAAACCCTTTTGGGGAATACCCTGCCACAGAGGCAGGGTGGGATGGGGGTGGGTGGGAGGGATACTGGGACCCGTGGTGGTGGAAAATGGGCACTGGTGGAGGGATGGGTGTTTGATCATTGTATAATTGAAACCCAAGCACAACAATTTGTAAATCTACTACTTTACCTCATGGTGTTTCACTAATAAAAATTTAAAAAAATAATAAATAAAACCCTTTTGGGCTCTAGCATCTTGTAAATGAGGAATCAATTACTTAAGACTAGAGGAAAGTTCAAGAAAGAGGAAGAACTTTTGTGGTTTCCTGAAGGGTGAACCCATGTAGATGGGTGAAGGAGAGAGAAAAAAAATCCCAGAATGGAGAAATGGTTTTCCACATTCTATACTTACTGAATCCCAATCATTTGTCCAGCATGCATCTAAGCACCTGGTAACAAGATGATGCAGCCCTGATCTTGAGGACATGATAGAGGTAGAATCAATACACCACAATACAGGTTCATTAGCGTAGAGGTATGCACACAGCCCTGTCAGAGGGAGAAACCAGATATCTCACACAACAAATGCTTTTCAGGAGAGGAGATACCTAGGCAGACAAGAGTGATCCTCAACAAGCCAAAGCAAAGAAGTAGATCACCATAGTAAATCCAGTAGGTAAAGAGACTATGAATTAGATCTTCAGAAACACACCCCAGAATCTTTGTTCTCTGCAGCCCTGCAAGACCTCATGACAGGAACTCTGCTGTTGCTGCTGTTGCTGCTGCTACTTCCATGAATAAGCTGCAGCTGGGCAGTAACTAGTGAAGTCCACTGAGGCAGCCCTTTGTGGCCTGGTTACCTCCTTGCTAGTCCCTCCGAAAACTCTTCACCTGAGGGCTCTTCCTATGGTCTTTTCTGTCACCTTCAAGCTGTAGGGAGGAGCACTGGAGTCACAGTGATCAGTAAGGAAGATCAAAACCTTCCAGGAATAAAGAATTTTCAACAACAAGGATAAGCTACTGAGGAAGAGGGTGAGTGACATTAAGCACCCAGTGGTGCTCAGGGCTTCCTCATTGCTCTGTGCTTAGGTATCACTCTTGATAGTGCTTGGGGGATTAAGTGTGTACCAAGGATAGAACCGGAATCAGTCATGAGCAAGGCAAGTGCTTTAGCCCCTATATTAACTCTTCATCTCCAGGATCAATTCTTCAGTAGGATTGTTGGGGGGAATGGAGAAGATGTTAATTTTATTCATTTTTATTTTTATGTTAATTTTAAAAGGAACATAATAATGGAGAATATTACAATCACAGTTAATGCATTCACTTTTCTTTACCCATGTATTAGTTATCTATTGCTGTATAACAAGTAATCCCCAAACATAGCAACTTAAAGAAGCACACGTTTATTAACTCAGTCACACAGTTCTGGGGAATTGGTATTTAGGGCAGCTTGACAGGGTGGTTTTGCTTCAGCGGTTCTCATTATGTTGCAGTCAAACTGCAGGCTAGGGATGCAGGATGAAGACCCGACTGGGACAGGGAGCTGCTTCCAAAATTTCTCATGTGCCTCTTGGCAGAAGACCTCATTTCTCACCATGTGGCATCTTTACAAGGCTCTTCACAACATGGTGGCTGACTTCCCCCACAGTGAGAGCATGAAGCAGCAGGAAAGAATGGGGCCTCAATAACTCTGCGCCTTGCTGCAGTATCAATCCAGCTTCTGCCTCCATACCCAACCCTTCTTCCTCTGTCTTTGGGAGTCATTTCCTATTCTTACAGGATTAGAACTCATGGGAGATGTGGGACACATATTACTCCATCTGGCCTCTTCTTAATGAGGTGCATCTTCAAAGACCCTATCTCCAAATAAAGCCACAGTCTAGACCCTGGGTGAACATGGATTATTTTTCCTTTGGGAGAGAGTCATTCAACCAACATAACAGCCACCTTACAGAATAAATCCCGTCCCATGACATTTTATGGGGAGTGTGACCACTCTGGGTTGAAACATCAGAGCTTTCCATTTTGTAATATCCATTCCTAAGAGAGTCCAGCCATGCGTTTCTTCACTGTTTTATTGAGATCTGCTTTCTGATTCCTTCTGCTGTTGACCAACACTCAAGTATACAGTGAAATTCAAATTTTATTCAGGAGAAATAGAATTTGAGAAAATCAGACATAAAATGTTTACCATGCTTACTTGAAAATTAATTTTCTTTTTTCTAATACTAATGTTTATTGTAGAAAAAAATACAGATAAACAAAAAACAACCTGAAAAAGTCACTTACAGCAATACTGTCTTGCTGTCACTAAAATTAAAACAAAACAAAAATTGTAGAATTTTATTTTCTCTATCAAAAATTACAGATATTATTTTAAATCTTTATTTGTTTAGAGTTTGGGGGTATCACCCAGTGGTGGTCAGGGTCTACCCCTGACTCTGTGTTCAGGGATCACTCTTAGCACTACTAGGGAACCATATATGGTATGGGGGATCAAACCAGGATGGTCGCATGCAAGGCAAATGTCTTACCCACTGCTCTATCTCTCCTTCTCTAGATAGCATTTTTTAAATTATTAAAATGGAGTGATGAGCTATGTAATTTGTAATATGTTGCTTTGTAGTTTGCTCTTCTCAATATTATGACTACCTTTCTATGTGAGTAGAAACTAACATATATTGTTTGTGACTACTTAGGTTTTAAGATCTGACAGGCCTTGTGCCTTGCACCCCACTTATACCTTCTGAGGGAGGCATTCCTCTAATACCACTCTCCTCTCCTGCAGAAGTGGGAAAGGCAGCATATGATGGCAGTCTAATTTAAGAGACTGAAAATATGGAGACTTGGTCCATAACTCTCTGCCCACCCACCTCTCCCAAGCAGTAGTGAATGGCAGGAATTTGTGTGGCAGCTGGTGGTCCTCACATGTCTGCTGTAGAAGTGTTAGTGTGGAGGCACAGGAACTCTGCATGTCATAAGAAAACCCCTTACCTTCTGATTGTCTCCACAATCTTGCATGCTTTTGCAAAGTTCCACACCAGTACTACCACCCAATAGGAATGAAACTGTAGATTAAGCCCCAAACCTCAGAAGGATTTGACCAAACTGGGAAGTAAGAGAGTGCATGTGCACCCAACCAGTGGGAGAGGGGTCCCAGAGAGCAGAGAAGGGAGGATTATATGGTGACTTCTTCTCCCTGCCCCTGCTGGGAACTTCTCTAAGACACACCACCCTAGTCACACTGCTGGAAGTAGAAGTCAGTGATAGGGTCACCCCAACTGGCATCTTCAGAGATTTGGGTGAGTCTAAGAGGCTGGTCGGCTTCGGACATGGTGCAGAGGAACCAGCCTGGGTAGGCAGCTGACTCAAAGCTGGAGGTGAGTCCAGTATCTCGCCGGTAGAAGGTGAAGTTCTTGGATTCCTTGGCCCCACAATAGAGCTCCATAATGTTCACTGGCTGAGAGCAGAAGGACATAGTGGGTGAGAGTCAAGGACTGTGAGGAGTTTGAACCAAGGACATGAAAAGCAGAGGTGCTGTGGCAGAAGCCTGCAAGGGCACCCCAGAACAGGCACCAGGGCTCCAGAGGACACACCTCAGCGTGCTCCTCATCTGTTGAATTAGTCACCATACAGGAACAATTCCTGATCCCCAATAAGACTCACCTCCAATTTCAGAGTCGGTTCCGACTCTGTCCCGCATGACAGACACTGGCTTCCTCCCTGGACACCCAAGATGACTGGAAAAAGGCTGGCGTCCAGCCATCGATTGGGGACAACACTGATTTCCTCACCTAGATGGAGATCAGATGCAGGGGCCTTAGTCACCTGTCCTGCCCTCTCCTGTACTTTAGGGAACAGAACCTGAATGGCAGGCACATTATTTCTTTAGGCTATACAGACAGGAAAGAAACCTCCTTAGAAACCATTCTCTCTCTCTCTCTCTCTCTCTCTCTCTCTCTCTCTCTCTCTCTCTCTCTCTCTCTCTCTTTCTCCTCTCTCTGTCTTTCTCTTTAGCAAATGCACACACACAGCCTTACAGTCTTAGCAAGGTTCTCCTGGATGAGCAGATGTGCATAGTAAGGAGCCTGAGGTCAGTTATTGACACCGGAGCTTAGGGTCCCTCCACTCTGGGTGACCAAGACACCAGAAAGAAGAGGAAGCCCTGATAGGAGCAGAAACCCATCCCCATAAGGACTAAAGGCATAGGGAAGCTTCTTCAGGCTTTTCTACAGTCAGGGTACCAGGAAAACATGTTTGACCTATGTCCAAAAAGAAGGGAATGACCATGAATTCCTCTTGGAAAATATTGCCACTCCAGTTTAGAGGTATCATGAAGCACTGTGATACATTTTTGCCTGTGTGAAGGTGAAGTATTTTACCTGTCTTTGCCCAGAGTCTGATTTTCTAATGTCCTATACCTTGCATTAGGCCTGGAGTTGATTTTCAATTTTCAGAAATTTCTCAATTTCTGAACAGGACTCCTTTCAGCCCTTTCAGAATCAGAATTAGGAAAGTAGGTTTGTGTTTTGTTACCAACCTTTAATGATCTTTCCTGTGTGTTGCCCTCCAGCGAAAAGCTGGTTGTCTTGCACATAAAGCACCTTCAATGCCGCATCTTTCATTCTGAAATATCAGGACAATATGTGAAACACTGAATTAGAAGAGAAGACTCCAGTTTGCCTGGGCCTTGGCAAATATCTCTGTCTCAGGCACCATAACCCTTTGTCCTAAGATTTCCCTGTTCATAGGCTCCCAGTCTCCCATCTGAGACTGAGCTTGCTGCTTCACCCTCATCAAACTTCTATACTATCAAATCTCTTCCATGTGTTATGTTGGAAAGGCAAGGGTCTGAGTTCTTGTTTGGCACTGCCACCTGCAGCTCGGTCACAACAGGAAAGCTACTGTCTGTCTCTGGCCCCAAGCATCTGCATTGTCAGAATAAGATGCTGGGTTAAATAGCACTCTGTTCCTGATAAACATCTATTTTTTCCGAGGGTCACACCCAGAGATGCTCAGGGGTTACCCCTAAATCTGCACTCAGGAATTATTTCTGGAGGTGCTCTGGGGACCATATGGGGTGCAGGGGATCAAACCTGGGTCAGCCGTGTGCAAGGCAAACACTCAACCCACAGTACTATCTCTCTGGTCCTAACATCTGATTTTTAAATTATTATTGAAGACCTAAAGGTGCATCTACTTCCTCTTAGCCAAATATCCCTACAAAATGGGGAAGTTCTTTTAAGTTAAAATTATTTTGTTTTTTGAATTTTCTTCATATCTATGATCTCAGTTGATTTTCTGATATTCCATGAAGTGAAAGTAAGTTTCTGCAGAGATTAATTGTGAAAATGTGTGCTGTGTAAAAGTTGGTTCAGTGTTCGTTAAGCATAATTCAAATAAGACTCCTTCAAAGTCACTAATATGTTGAATTTCACCACTATTGTGGGGAACACCAGAAAGCAAGACAGTTGAATCTGGAAGACTGATGCTGTTAGGGGCACTGACTTCTCCATCCCACCCCGGAGATGAAAATCCATGTTTAACATTGAACTCCCCTCAAGCATGAATTACCAGCAGCTTGTTTGGGGTTAGCAATCTTATACTTAACATAGTGGATTAATGCATATATTATATGGAGTATGTAGAATATGTTATTCTCTTATAGTAAAGGAAGTGAAATAAAAGAAAATGTCATTAAGAAAGAGAATACATTTATCACATTGTATGATATATATCAAATCTGTTAGTTTACAGGAAAATCGGCATGTATGCAAACCAGAGAAGTTCCAACCCATGTTGTTCAGGGATCAGCTGTATTTACATAATTAAGCAGAGCCCCATGCTTATAGCAATGCCCTGGAATAGGGTTCCCTTTAAACATATTCTGGGAAAGGCTGCACTGGACCCTGATTCAGAGATCCAGAGTCATTCTCAGTCATGGTGTAAAGCCCAGAGTATGGCAGAGTACCCGAGTCCACCCATGCCAGTGGGCAGACAGCAGGCTGAAGAATATTATTTTGTTGCTGTTTTGTCCCAGAGGGGTACAAGGAGATCAGGATGCGTAGTGGCTGCACACATCCAGCCACTGGGTGGTGACAGTAGGGTTCTGGCTGGCCTGTCTTTTTTCTATTCTCTTTATAGACCGACCAGGCTGCTGCCTGGTCCACACTGGATCATCCATTCATTCTCCCTTCGAATAAGGGAAGCTCCTTAGGAAGCTAAGCCCAGTTTGAAAAGACTGCAAGACATTCTCTCAAAGCAGAGAGGTCCTATTCCCAACTTCCCAGCTACCCTTTCCAACTCTGAAGTTTTTCTTTGCCACATCTTCCCACCCAGGAAAGGCTGAACAACTGGTTTACACAGAGCTCCCTTCTCCCAAGAAGTGCAGCCAAATCAGACTCATACTCACCGGAAGCACAGTGCCCCACTCAGGACCATTGTGAGCTCCTTCGGATGCAGATCTTCCTATTTTAAAATAACAGAAAAACTTAAGCAAAGGTGAGAATGAGCTTCTGGGATTTTCAGGGCTCCTGCCAGGGCTATTAAGAATAATCTCCTAAAAAAATAATCTCCTGAGTCCTGCAACATATGAACAGCCTCCAAGGGGAATTCTACGTCTGGCGTCAGGAGACAGCTGTAGCACAAGCAAGTAGGATGAACTGAATTCTCCAAAGAGCATCTTAGAATGCCCCTTTCTCCTAGCAGAGCAGGTGCTGTCTGCCTGCTCCTTTGAGTATGCCTTTTAATAATGGATGAGGGAGGAGGCCTGAAATTGCACAACTTGGGAGGAGTGCTTCCAGGGTGATTTCACATCATCCTAATCATCCAGAAACACCTGCTGCTTATTATCTTCCTCAGGCAAGGAGGCTTCTGGCGACGGTCTCCTTCCAGCAACAATGAAGAACTTCCAGAATCTTTCCAGGTCTTCTTGAGCACTCAGTCCTTGGCCCTCAGGTGATTCAATGCCAAGGGCAGTGGTTCAGGCAGCTCTTCTGAAGGAAAGTAAACTAGGGAAAAATTTTTCTCCAGTTTATCTTCCCTCTGTCTTTTTGTTTTCTCCCTCATTTTTCCCTCTCCCTTTTCTATCCTTTCCCCCATCTTCCCTTCCTCCTTTCTCCTCCCTCCCATCCTTCCTTGCTTCTTCCTTTCTTTTCTTTCTCTCACTTCCTCCCTTCTTTTAGTTCTCCTGTCTTGGTCAAGCCAGTGGAAAATGCTAGAGATGAAGTTCTCCTGCTTAGGGGATATTTGATCTACATAATCATTGCAGAAAAACCTGAAAATCCATTAGTTTCCTGTTAGTATATCATCAGAAAACTAATGAAAACTTTTTTCTGTACATATATATATTTTTTTTTCTCTGCACACCACCCTTGAGGTGTGCTTTTGACACATTTCATACAACTGAATAATAGAATCTAAATTCCTTCCAATCTGAGTTCTTTGCATAGGAAAATCCTTCCACACCAAGTCCGAATAATGGTATTATAACAAAACAGCTATATATTAGGTACACATAACTGCTGCATTCGGAGATGATCATTCTGTTGAGAGTGAACGGAACGTCAGGAATGAGACCATTTCTCATAAACATTGTCTTCGTGAGATTCAGCTGCAGTCCGACCTTTCCACACTCATGGCTGAAGTTGGCCAGCATTTGTGCTGCTTGGCTAATGTTTGGTGTTATTAGAATGATGTCATCAACGAAATGGAGGTGGTGTAGTTACAGACCATCTATCTTCACTCCCATTCCTTCTCATTCCAGTCATTGCATGACGTTCTCGAGGGTGGTACTGAAGAGTTTCGGTAAAATGGTATCACCCTGCAGAACCCCCCTCTTGATGCTGATGATCACTTCCTTGTAGAATGGTGAGATCCTGGTAGTGAATCCGTAATACAGCTCGCGGAGGATCCTGATGTATTGAGTTTGAATGCCCTGTTTGGATAGGGCTTCGATGAGCGCTTCAGTCTCAACAGAAGCAAAGGCCTTCTTTAAATCAATGAATGTTATACAAAGCGGCATCTTGAACTCTGCAGAAACCTCAATGAGCTTGGTTACCATTTGGATATGGTCGATCATGCTGAATCCTTTCTGGAACCTGGCTTGCTCTCATGATTGTCCTTCATCTAGTGTACTGCCAATCCTATTCAGAATGACTCAAGTGAACAGCTTGTAGACAACAAACAACAGGCAGACCGGGCAAGAGTTTCCAATGTCTTGAAGTGAGCAGATGCCATTGGGCTACACTAGCACGCAACAGGGAAGAATGGAGACATTACTGGTGCACACTCAAGCAAATCGATGAGTAACAGGATGTCAAGTGATCAAGTGATCAAGCTATACATTACTTTTAGTATTGAATAGTTAGAGCATCATTTATTTGTAGGCACCAGTTATAATTGGGTTTTTATATTCTAATTTACTGAAATTGTATTGCATCTTTGAATTAATATTTTTGTTCAAATACTGATTATTTTCTTAGGAAATAAAATCCTAGCTCATACAATTTATGAGAGATCTTTCTTTAGTACTTAACTAGAAAAGTAACATATTATTGTGAAATTACTGCACTGGTTATAAGTCTGCATGCTACCAGTGATAGGCCTGAGTTAAAACAAGATTTAGTGAAAAACAAACAATTTAATTATGCATGTTGAGTACCATTGTCAGCCACTGTTAAGCCATAAATTATTTTAACATTGTGTTGGACCACAGAAACCGGCACACATCAAAAAGAACAAGAACAACCAGAGCTGGCGCGAATTTGGGGAGAAAGGAACTTTCATTCATTGTTGTTAAGAATGCTGCCTGGTCCAGCCTTTTTGGAAAATAATATTGACATTCCTCCAAAAATTAGAAATTGAGCTCCCATATGACCCAGCAATACCACTTCTGGGAATATATCCCAGAGTTGCAAATAAATACAGTAAAAATGACATTTGCACCTGTATGTTCATTGCAGCACTGTTCACAATAGGCAGAATGTAGAAAAAAAAAACCGAGTGCCCGAGAAAGATGATTTGTTAAGGAAACTTTGGTATATCTCCACAACTATACAGATGTTAGAAAAGAGGAAATTATGAAATTTGCATTTAAGTGGATGGTCATGAAGAATATCATGCCAAGTGAAATGAGTCAGAAAGAGAGGGACAGACACAGAATGACTGCACTCACTTGTGGAATATAAAGTAAAATAATAGTAACATAACACATAAGGACTGTAGAGATAAGGCCTAGGAGGATTGCATCACCGCTTGGAAGCTGGCCTCACATGCTGAGTGAAAAGGTAACTGGGATATAGAAGGGACTACTAGGTAAATGTTAGTTGGAGGGATCTCTCAGGATGGGAGATGTTTGCTGAAAGTAGACTATGGATCTAACACGATGGTCTCTTTGTACCTGTATTGCAAATTATAATACCCAAAAGGAGAGAGAGAAATAGGGAATGTGCCTTCCACAGAGGCAGGGGATAGGAAAGGGTGGGGGTGGCGGGAGGGATACTGGGAATATTGGTGGTGGAGAATGGACACTGGTGGAGGGATGGGTGGTCAATCATTGTATGACTGAAATGTAATCATGAAAGTTTGTAAGTCTGTTAACTGTATCTCATGGTGATTCAATTAAAAAAAAGAAAAAACAAAAAAATTGTGTTGGAGATTAAAATTCAAAAAATATATAAAGCTATTTAATGGATAAAAAGAGCCTCTCATCCATAAAGTGAACTAATGCTTTAAACATATTTTGAAACATTTTTAAGCGTAGAATCTGACTTATGCAAATTTATTGACTGTTGTATACTCACCAGATAGAAATAAATTGGAGATAGAAAAGAGAACAAATAAATAAATAAATATAAAGAAAGGCCAGATAGAGTTGGAAGACAGGCAGAACACTTTTTAATTAAAAAATAAGCTATATTCATTTACAAAATGAATATAGAGAAAGAAATAGGGTTTCATCTGCAAAGGTAAAATGCTTCCTGCACAGACTGCCTTTCCTGCTCTCTGATCAACCCCAGGTGTGGGCCCACATGACACGTCTGTGGGTCTCATAAGTTATACACTTGAGATGGAACTAAGAAATATGACAGAATCTCCCTGTCCCCTATCAGATTAAGGAAAACTTGCTGAAGGCACAAGACAGTGTCTCTGCTAGCTTTGTTTACATCTATTCTGTACTGCTTCAGTGGAGATCACTATAGAATGGATGGGTGAAAGGATTAATAAATGAGTTAAGAAAATAAAAAAGATAAAGAGAAAAAATCTCTGTTAAGAAAAGTTCTCCAAGCCTGAAAATGTTGATTATATGTTCTTTCTAATCCTTTTGGAACATCTTCAATTAAGCCTCATTGACAATTAGTTGTCCAGGGAATGTGTACCTTTGTTCAGTTTATTGATTATGGATTAAATTATGTTATGTTATATTAAATTAAGTTATGGATTAAATCCAAAATTCTGTGAAGTTCCATATGCACTAAGAGAAGACTGATAAATTGCAAATTATTTCTGATATAACAAGAAAACCCCTGGAGGTACAATTTCATTGCTTAGCAATTTATAAAATTGTTTTTATTTTTTTAATCAGAATTGACCACCATTGTTTCCTGACTAATCAGTAGTACTTTGCTCCTTATCACTCTAAATCCCACTTTGTTCCTTATCACTATAAATCCCTCAATTATTAGCAGTGCTAAATCTTTGATATAAAGATTTAAATCTTATCTATATGAAGGTCATATTTTGAATTTTTTAATTAACACACATAGTCACTACCTAAAGACAGATATTTTGTTTCAAACTCATATAGTGTGCACCTGTTTTTAAAAAAATATCCAAAAGCTCTTTGAAGCTATCACCAGCAAGAGATGGGGATTAATTATTTTTATAGTGTGGACTGATATTATGACTTGTTCCTAGCAAATATTTCCTATGGAAGAAGTTGTGTATCACTTCTGAAGTTAGAGCTCAAAAGAGAATACAGTTTCCTCTTCATCATTCTTGTAATATTCACCTGGGGAAAGTCAACTTCATGTCGTAAGGATACTCAAGCAATCTGTGGAGAGACTCATATAACAAGGTTTTGAAACTCTTGCCAGCAGCCTTGTGGGTGAGCAACAGTAGAAATAATCTTAGTCAAACCTTAAGATATCTTGACTGTCATCTTGACCCAACTAGTGCTACATTCCATCCTTGATTCTGGGAATCTATGTGAAATAATGTTTGAAGAGATTGAGATTTTGGGATAATTGGTTAGACTGCCATTGTTAAAAAAAATCTTGATCACTTGATCACTTGACTCCCCATTAATTGTCGATTTGCTCAAGCGGGCGCCAGTAATGTCTCCATTTGTCCCTGTCGCGTGCTAGTGTAGCCCAGTGGCATCTGTTCGCTCTAGGAACATGAAGAGCCTCAAACCAATCGTTCATGATCTTGATGAAGAA